AAACACGCACCCACACACCTTCACACACAAAAACAACTGCCACCTTGCTACTAATGGGCCCATTTTACCAAATCCATAGAGAGAAGTGGACAATTTGCTGTCTATAATGGTGTTGGCCAGAGACAGGTTACTGAAGCGATGAAAAAGTCACTCCATCTGAAATGATCATGCTGGATCAGCTGTGCTACCGTGCGTCTTCCAACCGTGAAGAGCCGCATGCCGTGGGCCGCTATAATTAAAGTGCTTATTGATTAAACTTTGTGCGCTCCTGCGTCCCCTGAACCGTGAGTCGGTCACTCTCACAGACATTCAAATCACCTCAGAGCCGAGAGAGCAATGTCTATGCTAATGCGTATGGTAATGTTCCCCCCCATCCCCGGTTTAAGTCGATTATTGACGCCTTCTCTAAATGGACGGTTGATCCACGATTCAAGCTTCATAGAAAAGTGTCAATATGAGATTGATACTGGGGCATGAGGTCAGCTTCATTTGAACTCCACCAGTTTCAGGTAATGAATTGGGCATTACTTACCTAATTGAAATATTAATTGGAAAGTAAATGACAATTCTCAACTCCATGTGGGATTTGAGTTTATCCATTGGTTGTTGCACAAGAACAGACAAAAGCCACTCATCAAGGGCCTGGGAGAAAGGTCAAAGGTCTTTATCTGTTAAGAGCTATCCACTCAAAATTTTAACAGCTGGTGTGGATGTGTGTGACATGTTGTCCGAGAAAACAGTATTTATGGTAAATTCCACGCAAAGATACACTGCTTTGAACTTGACAATATCTACGCTTTACACAGACAGAGTTAAATGTTTTCACAGGGATTTTTTGTGCCAAATCAACACAAAGTAGTGTGATAGTCCGAGTTTGTTCAAGAACAAAATCTAACAATAATATGAAGGGCCTGCATTTTTTCCTTTCAAATTACATAGAGTGCATCTGTCAACATAAGATTTCATATCTTGCCTCTAATTTTCAATTGGATTTGGGTTCTTACTTTGAATATGCCATTCTAACGTATGAACAGGACATTTTTTTCCACCCACAAAGCTTGTGGCAGAAAGGAAATTAAATTTCTCATGACTCTTCCTGCCACTCTTCCTTAAAGACCAGATTTATGGAGTATATGATTGATACATGTCCTGTCAACTCCCAGTTGAGCATCTTTCCAGGTCCTCCAGTCAGTTTGGACCTTACAGCTCCAACCCAGATTATTTGTATCTTGCTAGATATGCCGGTGTAGGAGGCTGATTTACATTTGTTTAACAATATTTCCATTTCAGATGACAGATAAAAATTGCTCTGATACGTGTAAAGGTTGAAAACTGTCAGAACCTAATCCGGGTTTCACATTCTTCCTATCTTGATCCCTGATCTGTCTGCTGTGGTCTCCACTCAAGCCTTTGCAAAACAACTCTGCATGAGTTCTGAAGTCAGTCGGCGGCAATGAATTTTGTTTGGTAACTTTAGAATTAAAGGGGCTTATCATACAGTATGTCATACAACACTTTTGTAAATAAACAACCATGTTATGTATTCTCTGCCTTCAAAATACCACGTACATTGTGTCAGTTTTCCCTAAAAATCTCGGTAAAACATCAAAATCTGTGGTGAAATGTTTTATGGATGCGAGTTCTTTTCAGGGCATTGTCAAAGTCAGAATGAGACCTGGTTATACACGCACATTTGTACAAGAGAACAACAAAAGTACCTTACGTGTTGGTGCTGAGAGCTGAGCAGAACATCATGCCATAACTCTGGGAAAGGTCGGTGTATTGATCGGTGTGCATGGCTGCACTGCACCCCCCAACACTTCTCCAGCTCTGACACTGACCCGCTTTGCTCTGCTCTTTGCAAAACCAGACATTCTCCTTGTCACGCTGAGACGCCATCATCATCCGAACCTAAATCCTGACATATACCTTGCTCGCGTCTGGCCTCTTGGAAAGATTTTGTGAAGACAGATGTCTGATCCAAATAATTTCATCTAAGGATAAATCAATAATTTTCCAGAAAGTTGGACACAGGATAAAATTAAACATTAAGTCAAGTGGAGATGATTCTTTACCAAGCAGAGTGTACAGAAATAGCCGGCCAACTATGTTCATCTGATCAGACAGTACTTTAAATACTTCTGACATTTACACAGGATAAAATTAAACATTGAGTCACGTGGAGATGATTCTATACCAAGCAGAGTGTACAGAAATAGCCGTCCAACTATGTTCATCTGATCGGACAGTACTTTAATTACTTCTAACATTTACAACATGCCTCTAACAATGAATTTCTGCTGTATGGTTTGTATTATTTGTTCAGTACAGTAGAAACCGTTTTACAACATGGTGCCACCTCTCTGCTGCAGTTCGACATTAGAAACCGTGTTCCTGTTCTAATGAACTGGCTCAACCACTTAGCCACACTGAAGGCTAAGTCTAAATTTGGCTTAGTGACTCATGTTCAAGTAGAAATGTGTAAAGCGTCATGGCGTGGTTTGAAACAAAAAGCGAGACTCCATGAAAGGTGATAAGGAGGTGTTCTGTGTCAAAAGTAACACATAATGGTTTTCTGTAAAAGTCGGTGTGCGAATCATGCTGTCGAGTCTGCCCTTGTGTGTCTGCTGGGCTTGACACTGCGCATCTCATTTCCATTTGTGGTTGATGTAGCATGAGGGTATGAGAGTGTGTATTGATTGTAATTTCCTGCAATGCTGCGTTCCACTCTCTTGGTTTGTAAGGAGACTAATTCCTATCTCCTACACTGTCAGCCAACCAGCAGCCTTGGCTTCAATCCTTGACAACAGCTAATGAATAAAAGAAGAATGAATACTCGACCTGGTATTCCTCCTGCAACAAATGGGTTGCCGAAAGGATGCTGACATTTGGTGGATTGCGGTTTCTGTGCATGCTTCAGATGCTCTTCATGTTATAATGTAGACACCTGCTCAAGTATCTTTTGACATGCATCTTTGGATTTATCTTTATATGTGCAATTTGGGTGAGAAATTGCCAGACTCTCTTGACATGGTCTAGGCTTGGCCAAAATCAAAAAGTACAGACCTGTGCACTGATCTGGTGACCTTTGAACACAACCTCTTTCCAGAGTACTTCCAGACAGCATATACATATTTTCCCATTTTTAGCATCCCTCAGTGTATGATAGATACCAACTAGAAAATATGCTCCAGGCCCAAGTGGGGTCCCAAGATATGCAGTTGTCACAAAGAAAGATGTGCTCTTCCAAACATTTGCTGGTCAATGCTCTGAACTCACAACGAATGAGAAAAAGGACAACCTAAGACATAGTTAAACTTTTCTGGTTTTAATTGAGGATATACTCAGAACATTGACTTTATAGTGTGCTTCTGGTTTTACAGATGGTTTGCTTGCCCTACCAAAAGTAGTCAGTCTGCCAAATTATTAATGTCAATAGTCTTTCTCTGGAGCCTAAATTAACACATTAACTGAATAAATGTGCAATAGTAGAAAAAATTTTTGCAAAGCCAACTTGTAATGATAAACCTCCCTATAGAGACCGGTATCATTGTGAATAGTATTTATTATGGGGGAACTTTTGAGGTAAGTCATGGCCAAGCATAGTTTCAGATTGACTCAGGTTTTCCTTTCTGATTCACAGAAAGTAGGTTTGCGGTGGGTTTAAACAGAGCAACTGAAAGTCATTAAAGACCCTTCTCCATGACCCTCTACTATTTCCTTTTTGAGAATTGTATCCATTTGTGATGGGTAAAATAATACTGTGTAACTTCAGTTACACAGTATTATTTTTAACTGATTACCATTTGGTTAAAGTGTTTTGGCTTATTTTTATCTAAACATCTGCAGTCTGTCGTTTCCGGCTTGCATGCACATTCACTTTCAATACTACATACAAATTCGTTCTACTGTGCCGGCAAATGCTTAACAACTTTCTGTCCTATTCTTGTGCTACCCTAAAAATTCCCCTCCAATTTTTGAAAGGCTATTCACAAATCCAATGATTTAACTTTTTATGAAAGTGAAATTGAACCATAAATGTCACAATGCAAGTGATTGTCCACTGTCAGTGCAGGCTAGACTGGGAGGAGTGAATGCTGCCAGTCAGGCTCTTGAAACAATCTATTGGGTTTTCTTAGACTTTTCAAACTTTTTGAAGCAATTTCGGAAGTAAACTGAATTTGATTGCATTGGATGATAATTAGGATCTTTGTGAATATATTTGTGCTTGGAGTTAACTAACTTTTTTCTTTTTTGTAAGTGCCTTGAGATGATGTAAGTAAGTTGAACTGAGCTAAATGGGATTGAAAACTTTTCATGTTGAAATAAAACTTTATGATTCTGTCAACAAGTGAAATCATAACATACAGTCTCAAAAAACTTTGCTCTTCAGTACAATATGCAGAAGTGTAAAAAAAGATGAGTTAAAATGACTGCTAGAACTAAACATAGCTGGGCCAATTTTACTTTTCTGACAGAATAAAATATGTACACATCTATTTTGTCTTAGTGGCGAAGTCCACTGTGTGAGTTCAGATGAGGTCATCTCTTTGTCTAGTGAAAAGATAAAACAGGGTCTTACTGATAGTAAGGTATTTTAAAAATAACAGGCTAATATTGAAGTTAAGTAAATAAAGACTAGATTATTTTTGAGCAAAAGAGCAGCAAAATATTTCAAAGTGTGAGATCAAATTAGCAGCTGGTTAAAAGTTTCAGATAGAGTGTGGTGGAAAGTGATGAAAGTCTGTTTACAAAAGCAATACTAGGAATGTTTAGGGTCATGTTTGTTGCAGTGTGGGCAGTACGATGGTAAATGGACTGATTCACATCTTTGACGTGTGAAAGGTCAACTCGTTGTTTCCTTTCCCCACCATGTGGCTGCTGTGACAATCCTCTTCAGTTGTGGGGGAACGGTTTAGGTGGGAGGGAGAGGGGCTTGTAGTATAGTACATAAAGGGCTGAGATCAAAACTCGAAGTTTCAGAAGAGTGAAAGCACTCTGCATCTCGAAAGACGAACACCACAAGCCTGCCGCCTGAGCAAGACCGGCTGGATTCTCCGTTCTTGTATGCATTTTGGTATATGGGGAGATTGTTTATTAGGAACAGTGCTCACTGAAAGGCTTGAGATCTACCCATTTACTGGCAAAGAGTTATTCTGAAGATGCAGTTCAGCTTGATCTTAACTTCCTTTTTCTGTTTCATAACATGGATAAACTTGGTTCAAGCAGGTAAGTACAAAAAGTATAAAAATGATATTAAGTGGTCTGAATATAGTGATACTTAAATTATCTGTCTCTCTCTTTCTTTCTTTTTTTATATGTTTTTAGACAATGGGCCGCTTGATGGTCATTGTCCATGTGTTAAGGTCTCCAAAATAATAATCCCTCATTCTGATATTATGACTTACACCAGTCAGAAGAAAGGCGAATGTCTCGTTAGTGCAGTTGCGTAAGTAGTCTATATTCTTCCTTCGTCTTGATCAATTACATCTGATCTCATTGCAACATCGCTCTTCAATTTTGCAACCTGTCAGATATTTATCTTTATTATTATTATTTTACTTACTTTATTATTATTTTTTCAGAGAATTAGTTTTTATTTCAATACATCTCCTATTTATCAAAAATAAAACCTAGCAGTAACAGTTGTAACAAAAATCTTAGAAAATAATGATATGTAGCTATGCACTGAAAAAGAAAAACAATGATAATGCTGAATAATAATAATTTAAATTACTGACAATGCATTTCAGGTTTCGTACAGTGAAAGGACAGACAATTTGCTCTGATCCCAATGATCGATGGGCAAAACATGTAATCCAGCAGCTGAAGAAAAGACGGAATGAAAAAATATCAACAGGAGGAACACCACCACAGTCGACACGAACATCAGCTCAATCAACTTCAACATCCTCACTATGGTCAGGACCATCGTCAACATCAAGCCCAGCATCTCTTTTAGGATCAGAACCAACATTAGCACCATCAACCAAAACATCAACCTCCTCAACGGGACCATCCTCAATGCCATCATCATCAACTTTAGCTTCTGTATCAACCCAGTCAACTCCAAACCCAACATCAGCGTCAGCGTCATTGTCAAACACCATTGCTGGTACCTCTGGTACCACCTCAGCAAACGATCGCATACCAGGAACATCCATGAAAACAAGAAACGCAACCACACAAAGACGTCAAAGAACCAGGAAAAAACCAAGGAGAAATATGAAGAAATGGCAGAGAAGATGCAAAAGCAAATCAAAATGACTGCTTGCCGCAAAGTTTCTTCTAAGAAATATAACATGCAATGCTTAAATACTGTGGCTTCCAATGTTAAACTCTTTCAACTCCTCCAGAGTTTCCTGACCAGCTTGAATATCAAATATTTAATGTAGCACAACACAATAATTGTGAAACTATGCTTTATATCTGTAGTATATGCATTTAAAGATTATTATTTTTTTACATAAATTTGTATGTAAAGCAAAAATAAACTATGTTTTAATTGTTCTAATTTATAAATAAATAATTGAACAAGCACACGTGAATACATAATCCTAATAGAAGTTAATTTAATAAGTTTTTTTTCTATTATTTGCTTATGAACATAATCAGTTGAAATATTGGTTTCTGTGTTCCAGATTTTGTCTGGGTGAGTTTGAGAAACAAAACCAGGTCAGATATGCAGCTGATAAGAAAGACAGCAGTAAAGCTGTAAATAAATGCCCAGGTAAGAAATGCAGATTTTGTGAAGACTAAAGAAGTAAGATGGAGCACAACCTTGAATAACTTGGGTTAGAAAAATGTCTGCAGTGTGCTAAATTATAACTGCAGTTTAAATAAGTGAATGCCGAAAATGATTCATTTTGTAGTAATTTTTCTCTCTTGCCTTTGTCACAAAAGGATCATGACGACAAGAATGTGAGCTCACTGGTTTAATCAAAGCAGAGAGACAATGAGTTAATAATCAATTAGAACTATGTTTTTGTAAGGTGCATGCAAATGAACAGACTGTGATAAAGATGTTAAAAGAAATTAAACTGCATGCCAGTTTAATGTGGACCCCAGAAAAACTTTAAAACACCAGGTTTATGTTTCAGTGTTTACATATGAGACAACAAATGTGGTGCTGCATCCTGTGTTTCAGGACACACAGGATGCAGCAATGATTCAAAAATTGTGTGAATTAAAAATATGAGGCAAATCAAAATTTTCAGAGTGAGTGTGGTGAAAAATCATGATAATTTGTGTATATAGTGTGTATATATAAGAATGTTTAGGCTCAAATTTAGTGCAGTGTGGGCAAGACAGTGGTAAATGGAATGATTCACATGTTTGACACTGAGAGGTTTCCTCTCCCCGCTGTGCGGCTGCTGTAGCAACTCTTTCTGGTCGTGGGGGGAAACATTTACGTGGGAAGGAGAGGGGCTTGTAGTATAAGAAGATCAGAACGCAAAGTTTCAGAAGAGTGAAAGCACAGTGCTGTTTGAAAGACAAACACCACGTGTCTGTCACCTGAACAAGGTTTATTGGATTCTCTGCTCTTGTATGCATTTTGGCGGGGAGATTGTTTACTGATAAACTGTGTTCACTGAAAGACCGGACAGCTACACATTTAAAGGCAAAATTTATCCTGATGATGCAGTTCAGCTTGATTTTAATGTCTTTTTTATATTTCACAACACGGATGAACATCGTCCGAGCAAGTGAGTACAAAAAATATCTAAAAGTCATTGATTGAGTGGTTTGAATATTGATGCTAACAATACATCTCTGTGGTTTATCTTTTTAGCCGAATGTCCTTGTACCACGGTCTCCAACACGAGAGTACGTCTTTCTAAAATTGAGGAATACCGCATTCAGGAGGATAGCATATGTGCCTTTAGTGCAATTGTGTAAGTAGTCTATATTTTTTACTGTTCTACACCATCACTGTCAATTTTTATTTCTGATGTGTAGGAGATTTATTTTTACATTTGAATTTAGTTTTAATTTACAACAGTATTTATAATTTAATTTCACATTCATTGCAGGAACAGAATTTTGCAAAACTGGCTAAAAGATGAATCATTATTGGTGTAACCTTGCTTTAATACTAAGAAATAATTATAGAACTGAATAATAATTATTTTAACTAAAAATCATTTTCAGGTTTTCAGACAGTGAGCAGAAAGACCATTTGCTCCAACCTCAAAGATGAATGGGCAAACCATATAGTTCTGCAGCTGCAGAAAAGACAAAATCAAAAGCTATCGAAAAACTCATCATCAGCATCAGAATCACCAACAGCATCAGCACAAGAATCAGAACAAACAGAAACACCAACATTAGCACCAGAATCAGAGCTACCATCTGCACCAGCATTAATACAGTCAACACCAGTAACATCATCAGGATCAGAACAAACAACAGCACCAAGATCAGAGCTACCATCTAGAACAGCAACAGTACCATCAATGTCACCAGAATCAGAACAAACAACAGCACCAGCATCAGCACTGGAATCAGAGCTACCAGGATCAGATCAAGACCAGCAACTTCACCAGGTCCTGATCCTGGTGAAGTTGCTGGTCTTGATAGTGCTTCTGATGCTGGTGTCATTGATGGCATTATTACCATCAATGACACCCAGTATCAGAACAAACAGCAGCACAATACACAATACATACACCAGCAACTTCATCAGGATCAGAACCAGCAACAGTGCCATCAACACCATCAATAGCACTGGGATCAGAACCACCATCCACACCATCAGGAGCAGCACCATCAGGCCCAGCATCACTGTCAGGATCAGAACCAACATCAGAACTAACATCAGCACCATCAACCAAAACATCAACCTCTTCAAAAGCAGCACCATCATCAACTTTAAATCCAATATCTGTAAAATTCTCTCCAAATCCAACATCAGCACCAAACACCACGTCTAGTCTCTCTGGTTCCAGATCAGCACTTCACCATATTCTAGCAACGTCCTCGACAACAAGAAGAGCATCAACACGAAGACGTTTAACACTAAGGAAATGACAAAAAAGAAAATGAACTGGCAGAGAAGATGTACATAGAAATCTAGGTGGGTCACTGTCAGCAACTGACAGTGGCATGCAATGCCAGTCATATAACATGCAAAGACATATGGCATGCAATATTTAAATACAGTGGCTTTCAATGCGTTGCACCTCATGAACACATCAAATAAATTCAGAATGAAGGGTTGCAATATATGAACATTTGATATTTATATTTCTTTGTTTCTTGTTTGGAATTTTTATTTCTCATTTATCCAACGTCCAAAGATTATCTTGTAACTCCTCCTGTGGATCAAAGCTTTAATAGCTTAACTAATTGTAAAGTTCTGCTTTATATCTGGAGTGTGTGCATGTAAAGATGAATGACTATTTATCATTCGTATGTAATGCAAAGAAACTATAAGTATCCTCACTTCAAATTCAAATCATTATTCAACAAATGTGTCTTTGCTGTAAATAAATTAAAAATCTTAATAGGACCTCACCTTGTCATTATTTATTGGAGTTGCTTGCGAACACAGTGGGTTTAAATGCTGGATTTTGTGCGTCAGATTCTGTGTCAGTGGGCCTTGCATATGCAGGCAGGAAACCAGCTCAGACACATAGCTGATAAGAGAGACAGCAGTGACGGTGTAGTTAAATGCCAACGTAGGAAATGCAGATTGCATGAACAGTTAAGAAGTAGGACGGAAAATAACTTCAAACAACACTGGTCAGAAAAAAAAATCTATTATATACTGAAACATAATGACACTAAAATAAAAAAAAAACTGTATGGACACCCTTTCGTGAAGCTTTTTTGACAGTTGAACCCACCCCTCTTTTTACCGGATGTCCCGCCTCCCAATTTTCGGTGATAAGTGTGCCCCTCCCCACACCCAACGGGTCCTATAGATAAGCAATCCAGGCCCACCCTACTTCGGGCCCCCTATGGAGGACATCTTAGACATTTTTAATTTATTTATTTTATTTCATTTTATTTTATAGAGAACTCCTATTGACCTCTGAGTTTTAAGAGTAAAACAATAACAATCAGCGACAAATAATTATGAATAATGTATACTATACATACTATGCGTAGTAAGTTTAAATAGATTTGGAACGTTGTAGTTACCTTCGGTTCTGTGCCTCAGCGGTTGGTCTGCTTTTAAGATAGCATTAGATAGCATCTGTGTAAAGTGGTTTAAAAGAAAAAACAAACAAAAAAAAAACAGGGTCATTCTTAGTAGTTCTGGTCAGCGCGCAAGGCTTTGTCAGTTAGTTTCCCTAGCAATGGAAAGATAAGGTAGGCATGGTTTAAAAGTTCATTCTCACGATCGATTGAATATTAGCTTTCACCAGCCCCATCGAGAATCAATTGACGTGACGTGCGTATGTGTAGGTGCGTGCGTGAGTGTTCCTATGTGTGTGTGTGTGTGCGTGCATGTGCATGTCTGGGGCAGTCGTGAGAAAAAAAAAAAAAAGGCCCTGCCGCCTGCAAATACATACATCTAAAGAAAACCTACAATTTAACTACATTATTTAGTTAATACTGACTACGAGTTTGTGATTTCTTTCATGCTTTCTCCAAAATAGTAAACACTGGTTTAAACACATTTGAAATTCAGTTTTTCTGTAACGCTTGCTAGTGTGATACATTTCAGTAAATGTTCCTCATTTGTACATGTATTTCTTAAGAATATATGACTGTTTGTAAGCAGGACTACGTGAGGTTACTGAAATTTAACTTTTAACTTTCTTTGGTTAAAGAATTTGCCTAGAATTTGCCAAAATTCATCACAGTGAATGCTACTTCGTTCATTTTTTCCCCCTGCTGTTGAATCAACACTGATCTTCCCAGAGTTTCATGCTTTCTCCAAAATAGTAAACTCCGGTTTACACACATTTGAAACTCATAATTTTTCCTCTGTAACACTCGATAGTGTGAAGCATGTCAGTAAAAGTTTCTCATTTGTAAATTTATTTCTTAAGAACATGTGACACTTATTAAGCAGACCATAGTGAGGCTACTCATATTTAAGTTTTAGCTTTCCCAGAATTGAAATGTTTTTTCTATCTTTCCTTTCTTTCTTTCTTTTCTTTCTTTCTTTCTTTCTTTCTTTCTTTCTTTCTTTCTTTCTTTCTTTCTTTCTTTCTTTCTTTCTTTCTTTCTTTCTTTCTTTCTTTCTTTCTTTCTTTCTTTCTTTCTTTCTTTCTTTCTTTCTTTCTTTCTTTCTTTCCTTCTTTCTTTCTTTTCTTTCTTTCTTTCTTTCTTTCTTTCTTTCTTTCAACTCTGCACAACTATGTTCCGACATGGTGAATTGTTTTGTTACCTTTATCATTATCCACTACTTTTGTCTCTAACTTGGATGCTGTATGTTTCTTGGCCCGAATGATGCTTTTTCCTCCATCCATCCATCATTTTACACACTTGAGTGTGTTCAGTAACAAATATAGTTGTTGAATTTTCCATTACTAAAGCTTATAAATGATCAATGTAAATAGTGGAAACAATTCATATTATTTAGATTGGATGTTTTTATGCATGCACTTGGATTTCTATTAATTTATTGAATGATCGTCTGTGTAAAATGTATCAAACTGTATAGCCATTCAAGTTTTATATAGTTTTTATTTCTTTTGATATTTGTTGCACAACTTCAAATATATACTGGCTTTTAACCAACAATTCAATCAGTAAATTTTATTTATTTATTTTTTTTCTTCTTAAATACCCTCTCTCACATCTTCTGACAACCAGCCCGACGTATAATAACATTAAGTTTGCTGTTTGAGCACTTTGTCTAGAAAACAAATATTTAAAAAAAATAAAACATATTACACAACCATGGTCACAACATGGTGAATTGTCTTGTTATCATTAAAATTATCTACAGCTTTTGTTCCGTGGTCCTGATGATGCTATCTGTTCACTAATGTTCACTAGCAGACAGTTCACCTCTTGTAAATGATAAGTTTATTGATGATCACTGTGAAGCATCAGTATGCATTAAAGAAGATCATATGTCAGATTAAGTAAAATATTATGATACTCAAAGCAATTAAAATTATATTGATCTGAAAGGTAATTTCTCCTTTTCAGGGAGCTTAGACTGTATGAAAGGACTGACTTTTTTAGTCCACTAAATTTAACCTTACCAAAGTTTTGCAGTTAAGCAAACAGGTACTGAGTTTGAAGCCTGAATCAGATGCCTTCAGCCTTCTGCTGAACCTGGACTTCCACCTAGCGAACATCGCTTAATTATCATCAACTTGTTGTTTGTACTCATCTTAAACCAGTGGCAGGAATGTTTGGATTAAAAACAAAAGAAACTTTATAAGATAATCTATTTAAGTTGAGTCCATGCAACAACTAAAATAAAATAAAAAGTGAACTATTTGAAAGTAGTGAGGATTTTGTGTGGTAAAAGTTTAACATTTTAACCTGCCCAGACACTATGCCATTTCTGCTCATGCAAACCAAAAGGTTTTGAACAGGACAACTATGTCAAATAATGAGACCGTGTATTTTTATTGTATACAGTCATATGAAAAAGTTTGAATGTTAAAAGAAATTAAACTGGGTGCCAGTTTAATGTGGGCTCCAGAAAAACTTTAAAATGCCAGCTTTATGTTTAGTGTGTGAATTAAAAATATGAGGCAAATCAAAATTTTCAGAGTGAGTGTGGTGGAAAATTATGATAATTTGTGTATATAGTGTGTATATATGAGAATGTTTAGGCTCAAATTTAGTGCAGTGTGGGCAAGACAGTGGTAAATGGAATGATTCACATGTTTGACACTGAGAGGTTTCCTCTCCCCGCTGTGCGGCTGCTGTAGCAACTCTTTCTGGTCGTGGGGGGAAACATTTACGTGGGAAGGAGAGGGGCTTGTAGTATAAGAAGATCAGAACGCAAAGTTTCAGAAGAGTGAAAGCACAGTGCTGTTTGAAAGACGAACACCGCCTCTGTCGCCTGAACAAGGTTTATTGGATTCTCTACTCTTGTATGCATTTCGGCAGGGAGATTGTTTACTGATAAACTGTATTCACCGAAAGACCGGACAGCTACACATTTAAAGGCAAAGTTTATCCTGATGATGCAGTTCAGCTTGATTTTAACATCTTTTCTATGTGTCACAACATGGATGAACATGGTCCGAGCAAGTGAGTACAAAAAATATCTAAAAGTCATTGATTGAGTGGTTTGAATATTGATGCTAACAATACATCTCTGTGGTTTATCTTTTTAGCCGAATGTCCTTGTACCATGGTCTCCAAGATGAGAGTACATCTTTCTAAAATTAAGGAATACCGCTTTCAGGAGGAAGGCAAATGTGTCTTTAGTGCAATTGTGTAAGTAGTCTATATTTTTTACTGTTCTACACCATCACTGTCAATTTTTATTTCTGATGTGTAGGAGATTTATTTTTACATTTGCATTTAGTTTTAATGCACAACAGTATTTTTCATTTAATCTCAGATTCATTACAGGAACAGAAATTTTGCAAAACTGGCTAAAAGATGAATCATTATTGGTGTAACCTTGCTTTAATACTGAAAAATAATTATAGAACTGAATAATAATTATTTTAACTAAAAATCATTTTCAGGTTTCAGACAGTGAGCAGAAAGACCATTTGCTCCAACCTCAAAGATGAATGGGCAAACCGTATAATTCTGCAGCTGCAGAAAAGACAAAATCAAAAACTATCGAAAAACCCATCATCAGCATCAGAATCACCAACAGCCCCAGTATCAGCACAAGAATCAGAACAAACAGAAACACCAACATTAGCACCAGAATCAGAGCTACCATCTGCACCAGCATTAATACAGTCAACACCAGTAACATCATCAGGATCAGAACAAACAACAGCACCAAGATCAGAGCTACCATCTAGAACAGCAACAGTACCATCAATGTCACCAGGATCAGAACAAACAACAGCACCAGCATCAGCACTGGAATCAGAACCACCATCAATTACAGCAACGTCACCAGCATCTGAACCACCATCAAGACCAGCAACTTCATCAGGATCAGAACCAGCAACAGTGCCATCAACACCATCAATAGGACTGGGATCAGCACCACCATCCACACCATCAGCAGCAGCACCATCAGGCCCAGCATCACTGTCAGGATCAGAACCAACATCGGAACTAACATCAGCACCATCAACCAAAACTTCAACCTCTTCAAAAGCAGCACCATCATCAACAACTATAAATCCAATATCTGGAAAAGTCTCTCTAAATCCAACATCAGCACCAAACTCCACGTCTAGTCCCTCTGGTTCCAGATCAGCACTTCACCATATTCTAGCAACGTCCTCGACAACAAGAAGAGCATCAACGCAAAGACGTTTAACACTAAGGAAATGACAAAAAAAGAAAATGAAGAACTGAAAATGAGAAGATATGCATAGAAATCTAGGTGGCCGCTGTCAGCAAAGTTACTTCAAAGATGGCATATGGCATGCAATATGAACACATCATGAACACATCAAATAAATTCAGAATGAAGGGTTGCAATATATGTATGTTTGATATTTGTATTTCTTTGTTTTGTGCTTGTAATTTTTATTCCTCATTTATTCAACGCCCAAAGATTATCTTGTAACTCCTCCTGTGGCTCAAAGCTTTGATAGATCAACTAAGTAATTGTAAAGTTCTGCTTTATATCTGGAGTGTGTGCATGTAAAGATGAATGACTATTTATCATTTGTGTGTAATGCAAAGAAACTATAAGTATCCTCAATTAAAATTCAAATAATTATTCAACAAATGTGTTTTTGCTGTGAATAAATTAAAAATCTTAATAGGAACTCACCTTGTCATTATTTATTGGAATTGCGTGTGAACACAATGGGTTTAAATGCTAGTTTTTGTGCATCAGATTCTGTGTCAGTGGGCCTTGCATATGCAGGCAGGAAACCAGCTCAGACACACAGCTGATAAGAGAGACAGCAGTGACGGTGTAGTTAAATGCCAACGTAGGAAATGCAGATTGCATGAACAGTTAAGAAGTAGGACGGAAAATAACTTCAAACAACACTGGTCAGAAAAAAAAATCTATTATATACTGAAACATAATGACACTAAAATAGTTAATCCTCACAATCATTATTTATTTAGTAACTATATTCTTCTAGCTGTTTCATATTGTCATGTTCATAGAGACCATGACGACAATGTGATTTCACTGGTTTGATTTGAGGAGAGAGCTGGTGCGTGGATTAGGACCATAGATCTTGGTTTGCTAGACAAATCAAGATCAACTAATTATGCTGCATTTCATTTACCTCCGAAAGAGGCATGTTTTAAAAGTTATACAGAAGAATAAGAAGGGATGAATGGAACTAAAATGTAATGTGAGAAGAAACAAAACAGATCAGTTGTATAGAAAGGGCTGATGAAAAAGAGGAAGTGATGGTGAGAGGAAATGAACAGGAATAAATGCATGGTAGACCTGGATGATGAGGTTGCTACACATGTCAAAATTTGCTCAGTGGGTCAGACAGACAAACATAAATAATTCAGCAAATTTCTTGCAAATATAATGTAATTACAAAACAGCTAAGCAAACGTAAAGTACTGATGTTAAATTCTACTGTTGGCAACAGGGCCTGGGAAGCCCATATGTGCTAAATCAAGCCTCTGAGACAATCTGCAGTGATCCCTATCCCTGAGCTTTTTAACTCCGACGTTACTATGATTTATCTTCAATAACTTTACAAAATGTTTCTATTTTCCACACGCTGTCATCCTGTTTTCACTTTTGCATTGTAGATAGCTTAAGTAATTCAACATATTTTCATTTCTTTCTGGATGTTTTTATATCTTAGCAACTGTGCCTTTACTTAAACCAGAAATTTTTTATTCTTTTTTTAATGAGATCAGGTTTTATAATGACAAATCTGACAAATAAAAATCTTATCAGCACTTACTTGTTATTAAGATTTTGCTGTGAGCATCTTTACAAACAAACCAACAAAAAAAAAAAGCATTTTACTCTAATTTTCCTCATGTCAGAGATGAGGTGTTTCTGTACCCACAAAGAGTTCTTTAACATGCCTTACATCTCTTTTTGGGATTTTCTTGCATTGCACCATAAAGTACTTTCACAAGCATTTTAATTGCATAAATTAGCACTTCAGATAATGACGATTTAACTATCAAAATGTCATTTATTGATGGTCTGAGTGTATTGAAACTTAAATAATGTATTTCTGTGTGTTATCTTTGCAGGCGATGGACCTGGAAATGACTGTCCGTGTGTTTCGGTGTACGGTAGAAATATCCTCATACTAAGATTAAGGACTACACCATTCAGAAGGATCTTGTCTGTCACTTTAGTCTAGTTGTGTAAGTAATCTATGCTTTTCTGATTACACAAACTTTTTTAAATGGAGATATGGGGTTTGTGAAAAACCCAAATGGTTTTTCAAAAGCACCTAACATGTAATCAACTAAGCCACCTACAACTGTCAAATAAATGCCAACTTAAGTGGTACACAGTAGCTATTTTTTTTTCAATCATTAAAAAGTTAATGAGTACCACGTCAATGTGGAATAAAATGCTGATTCTTAAGGTTACTTTCCTTATGAGTGTAAAAACGCAAGAGGATGACTGTCTAAAGTGATGATTACATGTTATCAATATGGAACTGCATCCAACATAACCAATCAATTTTGAACCTAACAAGTCTACCTTAGCTCTGTAAATAGATGATGTTGTGATAATAGGTAAAAAACCTTTTAAAACTTCTGGGTAAAATTACTCAATAACCCAGAAACTTTCCATAGTTTTGGCGGGATAAAATGGCCAAATGTATGTATGTATTTATTTATTGGGTTTTACATTTCTGTCTTGATTGAAGAAGATGATTGTATGATTTGAATATGATTTATTAAAGTGGACAGCGGTCTTGTCTGGTGATGCCACTGGGTAAGCGTGGTGGAAAATGTTGATTATCTCTGCATTCAGGTGTAGGAGTTTTTAATCTTGTGTTTGTTTCACTCTCTCTGGTTCTGTGGTTAATGGACTGATTGTCATCTTTGACTTTTGAGAGGTAAAAAAAAAAAACTCACTATTTCCTCTCCCCACTCAATAACCATGGTGACAGACTTCTATGGGGACCGGAAAAGGTTGAGGGAGGAGAGAGGGGCTTCTACTAACACAGAAGAAGGGCTGCCAAAATTAAATTAATGTGATCCTTCCATCTCAGAGTGATTGATACTCTTGGTACTTGCCAACTGAAGGCGAGGTTTGACTCTGAAGATGCAATTCAGATTGATTTTAAATGTTCTTCTTTGTTTTGCTGCATGGATGAACTTGGTCCAAGCAAGTAAGTGCAAGGAACTATCAAAATGTCATTTATTGATGGTCTGAGTGTATTGAAACTTAAATAATGTATTTCTATGTGTTATCTTTGCAGGCGATGGACCTGGAAATGACTGTCCGTGTGTTTCGGTGTACGGTAGAAATATCCTTCATACTAAGATTAAGGACTACACCATTCAGAAGGAACCTGTCTGTGACTTTAGTCTAGTTGTGTAAGTAATCTATGCTTTTTCACTATCTTGAATGTGCCGGTACATCTGATCTCATAGTAACATCTCTATGTGTTTATAGTGTTTGTGAAATGGTTTGTTTTTAACCTTTTACACATTTTGATGAATACAGAATGTTTTATGTGATCTCCCGGTCATCCAAAAATACCTAGCAATGGTCTAACAAAATGATAAATTCTACCAACAGCACAAAAAAAAACCTTGATATGTCATTAGAAAGAGAGAAAAAAAAATATTTACATCTTGTGGAAGAGGTTCGGGATTGCAGATAATCACTGTCATCCCTTTACATTGTCGCACAGTTAAACATATTGGTTGGTGAAGAACAATGAGGCTCCTTCCAGCCCATTTCATTGCTGATTGTTTCCAGCCTGTTGTGTGATTGTGTCCTGCAATGTGAAGCAATATTTCTTTGAGTTAGAATATTTCAATATGTATATATGATCAAATAAGGTCAAATTGAATTAATTTATGTTTGAAAACATTTGCAGGTTTCGAACAGTGGCTGGAAGGATCATTTGTGCCGACCCCAACAGCAAGTGGGCAAAGCATATTATCCAGAAGTTGGAGGCAAAGACAGCAATTCAACACTTCAGCCAATAACAAAATGTCCAAACCAGTGGGACCACACCGGCATCCACAAAGTTGCGGAGGACCATCACAACAGCACACAAACCTGAAAAGGAGAGAACATGAAGCATGGCTAGAAGAGTAATCAAAGAGTAAAACAAGATGTAATCAAAGTGTCTTTTACCAATCAATTCTACTCTATTTATTTGGATAGTTAATATTTTAAAGCATTATTTTTTAAGCATACTCAGATCACAAGTCTCACTGAATAATGGGTACTCTTGCTACTCAGAGATGCTTATATGAAATCTTTGATAATCAGAAAACACTAAAAACAATGTCACTTCAAATTTTATCTGAAAATAAACAAATAATGTCGAGCACAAAACATTTGTCACTTCAGTATCTGATAAAACCTCTTATGCAATTTCCACTTGGTGTCCAAGTGATTGGGTTGCAAGTCATTGCTTCAATTATGACAAAAATTACAGTAATCGGGGGAAACAAAACCATATATGGCAAATCTACAACATATCTTAATAAAGTATGGTAGAGCTGATAATGTATTACTATTAGCTATTACTCTTGTGTGCAAATAAATAATTTATTGAACAAATGTGTGTATATTCTGTCAGTACAAGACTTTGCTGCAAATCCATCTGGATGTAAAAACAGAAAAAAGGTAACAACACAGTCTTTAGGGATTAGAACAGTTTGACTGTTGTTACATTGAAAGCATAATATCGTATCAAAAGCATCGCAATTAAAAAGTATTAAACAAACTACTGTACAACCAAATTTTAATCCAAAACATTTATCGTACTAGACCGTGATGTCCATACGCAGTGAGCTATGAGACCAGAGCTTAAGAAAATACAGAGGATTTCCCAAGATTTAACACATATCAAAAACTAATACTTTGATGATATGAACAGGATTCATACGTACCTAATTGGATTTTGGTAACTTACAGCCAGGAACACTGCATGGGGAAGGGGAATTTAAGACGATTACAAGGGCCAGTTTCCAACATCGGCTGACAGACCCCATTAATCAGGACTCACAGCAGGTCTTGTGACTCGTGTTGTGCTGTGGTGCAGCATGAATGGATCACGTCCTGTTGCTCATGTACTATGAAATGGTACATGGATGACAGTGATAACCATGCTGTCTAGAAAAATAATAAAATCATTGTGAAAATTCAATATTATGAGATCCCGTGCCTCTAGTTCCACCAGGGGTCTAACTGCAGCTTGTTATTTTAGACTTGGTCAAAAGTTAGACTTAGAAAGTAACATTTATTCTGTCCTGCAATCCTTTTGCTATGCAATAGAAAATTCATCATCATGACTTGGCTCAAGACACATTTAAGTTAGAGCAGACTTTTCAGGGTCACCACTTACTATCAGCAGCTGCGATCAGCAGTCAGAAGACGACGGGTACTGTCAGCTTGTTTGATGTACTCAGGAAACTTGCTTAACCCACAAACCCAAGGTATTTCAAAAGAAATTCAATATGGCACAAAAACACATCTAAAACTAGAACAACAAACATTTCTGTCACCTTTAGGACAATCATCTACATAATGGACACACAAACTATGGCTGTTTTATGTCTAATTTAGCATATAATGGTCTTCTGCATTTAGAGTAAGAACTCAAATGCATTGTCATGTAATTTTTAAAATCTTTCCTCCGTGCAGGTTGTTGATTTAATATACTGCATATTAATGTAAGTAGGGCAAAGCTGTCTCTTTTTTTTAGCAGTGCTTTATCTTGTTTATTGCCATCCTACCAGTCGCAGTGCAACGTCTGTTTTTCCTGTTTACTGTGACGCAAACAAAACGCCACAAAATCAAACCTTGTGGTTGCTGATTAAAATATGGGAGCATGCATTAAGGCAGATAGTTGGCTTAAACTATATTATGTGTAGCTTTGCTGTTCTAAGGTTGTATCATCAATGTACTTCATACTTTGTATTGTTATGCTTTGTCTTTCAGGGGAGTTTATATTTGAGATGGTGGACTTATGCTACCACACCAATTACCACATCCTGTGTGCTGAGTTGAGCAAATGTGTACAACCCTGCATGTGCTTCTGGGGGTCTGATTTAGAAGAATAGTATTAGAGGGGCTGTTTCCTCTCTTCTAAGAATTATGCAAAACATTTCATAAAACCTGCACAGGTGGTGCTTTTAAAAACTTGTTTGGGGCTGTGGTAAGTACAACTTGACAGTATGCAAGCAAGTTTCAAAGAAACTTGTATTAATATAGGTAGAAAATCATCTGTTCTCAAGAGATGTTTTTTTTTCTTCCCCCTTTTAAAATGTGTTTCAATACAATATTACCATGCACACCAGAGGGGAAGGGCCTATGCTCTGTTTTTGTTTGGCGGAGGGGCAATTTATGACCTTTCATTTGTGTTGTGGTGCCTCCTAGGCAAAAAACCATGTCACTCATTTGAAAAACCACAAATGTTGGCAGTGTTTCTCCAAGGAGAAAGGGGTAAGAACTGTGCCAGTGGAGGTAGGAGAGCATATTGAGCCTTGGTTACTGCAACAAGGAATAGAAACTAAGCTCTGGGCATTACGCAACAAGAACAGAAAATGAGCTATGGTTTTTCACAAGAAACATAGCGATGGTTAGTGGTACCGTTGTCTGTGGTACCACTAGTAGACAAAGTGGTACAGTACTTTTTATGCAGAAGACTTGATCAGCTGACGAGCTGGGAGAGGACTTTCCACACAATCAGAGAATTTGGACCAAAGGGGGCGAGAGAAACAGAGGTCACACAGCGGTCCAAGGTCCTGAGATCCTGTCCACAAACAGGATTGGTGACAAAAGAAATCCCAGGCAGACTCCAACACGCCCTGCAAAACAGGCCCAACATTGTGCTGAAAATACGGACACAACTCTTGCTTTTTCACAAATTCAACATCTAGCAATACAGTATGATGAACTTATTCTCCCATTTCTAGCTGAGTATGAATCTCTGCTTCAATGTTACAAAATAAGAAATTGTGAAGCAAAAATATACACTATATCACTGCAGAACATTCAAGAGTTAAGAACTCTTCGATTTTATTTCTTAAATGCTTGTGTCAAACACAAATGTAGTTATCCTTAGAAATCTATCTTAAAATTAAATCCCTTTTTGACAAAATGTTAAATGTGATGTTACTGATAATTTATATTCTTACTGGAAACTAATTCAATGTTCTCAACATTGTTTACATGAAAGCTTAAACACAGGTTCCTGTGTTTTGGATTGTATCTCATTGTGTTTGCATGTGTATGAAGGAAATTAGCTCAGATTAATATCTACAACAGTAAAAAACGGCCTAAAAATCTAGATAAAAGAAAATGAATAGCTTAGTTTAATTCCATGTTTAGAACTTTAAAAGGAAATTAAAATAATTTAATTGTCTAAATACATTTTTGCCTATCACTACATTATGGTACAAAGCAATGTTCTAGCTGAATCAAAATGCCTTTTATTTATTTATGTTGTTTTTTTTTTAATCTCAGATTCAACTATTGGTTTCAGACAGCTCATGGAAAGAAGTATCTCTGACTCATACAACAGCTCGGCAAATATGTCATTCAAAAGCAGCTCTCCGATCGAACATGATGTGAAATAGAAAGATATTCATTCAGGAGAAATCAATGTTGTGCAAGTTCACTCAAACAAGCACAGTTCAGTTCACATGAGTTAGAACTGACTGAAATTATATCCATGTTTCACTAGAGTCACTGCGTAGTTAAAAAAATAATAACTATATGGGCCACATCATCAATTGCCAGTTAAGGGACTATATTATGTTATGCAGACTTGGCTTCCCTCGGTTATGTCTGTTTAATTCTCACTTGCTCATTTTGATTTGACCCAATTTCAAGTGTAGCTCATTTTTCACATATTTTCATGCTTTAGTTGACAGTCTAATCATAACATAGCCTCTTTCATAGCAGGCATTCCACTTTCATAAAATGGAATAATTTTGATTCCATTTCCCAAAATTTTTTCTCATTTGTGAAAAAGTGTTTGTCACATTCTAGATGTCTTTTTTTTTTGGGCTTCTTTTTTTTCCTTCAATCAAAATCAAACTCAACATCAAAATTTAATCAAAATAATTTCTACCATCAACAGAGGTTAGAATGCTACTCTCTGTTGTATCAGCAGCTGCCAGGCTTATAGTTTCAAGACATTACTTGAATTTCATATATCTGAAATTTAGCCAACCTTTAGCCAACCTTCTGTTGGCTAAAGGATCTCAAATAAGAGCACATCATCCCAGTGTTTATAAAAAAGCTTAACAGATCAGGTCAGTGACAGCTACCCCTCTGGAAATACTTTGGGACTCCTGTTAAGCACCATGAGAGCTACTATTCATAAATGGAGAAGACATAATGTAATGTGGAAGAGTACTGAACCTTCCCAGGAGAGGGCGTTCTACCAAAATTCCCCTGTGGTAACCAATCCAGAAGATCACATCCTGCACAAATAAACAGGTTTTGTACTTTAAAATTGAACACTTATAACATTTTATATGTGTTTTGTACTAGTAAAACTTATCCTACATAGTTTTTAGTAATAAGTTAATTTAAAGAATATAACATTTTAAGCAGTCAAAAGAGCTCACTTTCCCACCACTTATTTTTCTGCAGCTTGATGATCTCAGGACTGACTGAGTGCAGAGCATGGGCTTATGTTGGCGGCAGTGGCACAGGTGAGATAAGCACCAACCAGCAGCCGCAGGAGCAGGAAGAGCAGAAGCACAGGTGAGATCAGTGAGGTAATCAGGAGGTATGGAAGAGGCTGTGAGCAGTCGAAGGAAACAGGAAAGTTATGACAACAAAATCCATGATTACATTTACTAAGGGGAAAAAGAAACTATTCAAATGCACTTGGTTCTATGTATGACTGCCTCTTTTTAAAACCATTAATTAACTTTAAATAATCACACTTTTTAGATAGATAACATGAAGTAGATTCAACAAATCAATTCAATATAACATGTCTCACAACAAGCTAATTATTAAATACTAAAACATCAAACCCAATGTTAAAGAGGAAACAAAATCATTGATGCCTATCCATCCACAAAGGGTTACAAATTGATTTCTAAGTATTCTGGTTAACCATTCTAAGAACCAATGTCTGCAAATGGAGATGACATATATACGGGCCACATCATCAGAGTGGTGTACCAAATTTTTTCAAGTCTCTCCAATTGGTGACTAATCCAGAAAGTCACAAAAGACCACATAACAGGACCTACTGCACTGCTGGTTTGGACTGCTGAGGTCAGTGTCCATAGTCTGAACATTACAGATGTTGGAATAAGTTGGATTGTATGGAAGATTTCCAAGGGTAAAACACTAGTATTATATCCCCCTGTAACACCATGAAGCACCTTTCTGCTGGAAGCAAATAACATTTTTATTTGAATTAGTAGAACTATCTACTGTCTATATGTGGAGGGAAATAAAGATGCACAAAAAGGAAACTAATAGCTAATAAAACTGACAGTGAAAACTGCAAAAGAAGCAACAACTGTGTCGGCTGGACAGGCTAATATTAAGTGCAG